TTATTTGAATAAATGAAATAGTTGTCAATATTTAATGCAGTGAAAAAACAGTATATTGGTTGTCAATATAGGCTCAAATTAAGTAACTTTATTATGGAAGGAACGTCTAATTAGAATATTTATGCTTATATAACAATATCATAATCATATGTGATAAATAAGATCATTCAACTAATAAAACAAAAAATGTTGTATACAAATATGTCCTTCAACGATTATAGATATTTATCGATTTCAATGTATCTTCTACACATTTCAAGAATACGTACCAATAACCATAATTTTTTTTATAATTATTATGCAATATATGTAGACATTTGTATGTCTTTTATACGTTCCCCACGTTTAACGCGGATTATAATACAGTTATTGTTTAAATTATAATAAAATTTGGAATTTATAGTTTAGTTTCAAAATTATTACTAATTGTTATTTAATAAATGGGTATTAGATTTTTTGTATTTCTCCATCACTCTCCATAATTATTCTACATTACATTATAAGTAACATTGAGTTTTATAAATGCACTTATGCAATACTATGATGAGCATTCATAACTTACCGTACCTTTAATCTTCTTTGTCTACTATTAATAATAAGTATTATGTATTGTAAAGTTAGGTTGTTTTGACCATAACTGATGAAATAAATTTTTTTACAATCTCATTTCCTACTTTGTAATTTAATTTAACTTCATATTGTATAACATGTTATCAACACGACTCTACCATAGAGCTCAAATTTCTTATTAGTCTTGTCATTTTCAGGTATGTATTTTTTTCTTTTATATAAGTTTATATATACAATGCTTACAACTTATTTTATAAAATTTCTTAATTAATAATTCATTAACATACAAGTCTTTATTTTGATTAGTATTTTCATTATGGAAAACCATGCTAGAAAAAACTTTCACTACTTTTCATGTCACTAATATGCTCCTACAGTAGCAATATCATGAGAAATGTTTAAAAAAAATTATGTATTAATCTCATGTCTTCTTGTGGCTAAATAAAACTATGGATTATTGATGAAAACTCATCAATCACATCCGATCGGTTCTAGTTCATTCCCTAAAGTGAATGTAGCATCATATAATTATAATAATCATAGGTCTAACCGAGATTGTGGAGGTCAACATAATTATCATGACAATAATAGCAAGATTGCAAGTAACCACCAAAAGTTGGAAAATAATAAAAACCCACATCCTAATGATTAAAGTGGTCAAGACAAAAAGAAAGTTGAAAATATTTGTCACCGGTGTGGAATGACCGTTTATTGGTCTCGTACATGCTACTCTCCAAAGTTTTATGTTGATCTTTATCAAGATTCTCTAAAATCTAAATAAAATAACATATCAAAACAAATATTATTCAAATGATTTTCATGAAGATCAACCAAAAATGGCATGTAACACTTAGTTTCGAATTTGCTTCTTTATTTGGGGTTGCGCCCAATCTTCAGTGGTCATGAGGCTTAGGGCCTTGGGAAAAAAGAATTTGGCCCTTCCCAGGTGCGGGTGTTATGGTTTAAGTGATCTAAGTGTTTGACTGAGTCTTCGGAGGCCAATGGTATAATCGTAATTTGATAACTCGGTCTTTTATGGATTTTGGGTTTTGTTCATGGGGTTTTAAGGCTTGGGTGTGTTGTTAGAAGCGTAAGGCTTCTCGCTACCTTTTCGTGGATATAATGTTCGTTGGAAATGAACCTAAGATGAGGAAGTTATGGCATTTTGAAGATTTTGGAAGAAATGACTCTTATTGGAAAAGGCTTGTGTTTCAGTCATATGCATGCACGACAGAAGGCACATGCCTGGGTGAGTACGCCCATCATAAGCTGGGGTATGGCCAACATAATAATCAAAGAGCCAAACACTAGATTTTAGGGGTTGGGCACTATTTAAGCATCTTTATGACCTTAAGGCTCTTTCATTCTTAGCTATCATTACCTTTTAGCCTCATTTTGGAAACCCTAATCTCATTTTGAGTGTTTGAGAGATCTAAGTGTGCTTTTTGGTGTGTTCTTACTCATTTCTAAGAAAAGGGGGTTTGGTGCTAGCTTGTGGTTCAAAGAAGGACGTTTAGATCCAAATTTTTGGCTTCATCTCCAGCTCGATCACTCAAGGTATAAAGGTCTCATCTTGACTTCTTATTATGCAAGTTTGAGTTTAGGGCAAGATTAAGGGTTTTTATGGTGTATTAAGTTCTCATTATGAGTTTGAGCCACTCCAGGAGCTTGGAGTGATAGATCTTGCCTCTTCTGATGTTTTCTAGTTCATAAAAAATTCTTGGTTGATGTTCAGAAATGGTCCATGCATGCTCTAGTTGGATTATGTTGGGTCTTAATTGATTAAGCTGGTTGTTAGGTCCCTTTGAGTCATGTAAATGCATAAAGGTGCCAACTTTATGCATTAAGAGCTTGATTAAAAGGACTTTTGAGGTTTTGCAGTGAGGACTTAAAGGATTAAGATGTGTTTTGAATTTTGTAGAAGTTCCCATTACGCCTCGCGTAACTGATGGTACGCACAACGTACCTTCTTTTGGTCGCGATCCAGATTCGTCGAGTACGCCCAGCGTAGCTGAGCGTACGCCCGATGTTCGCCAATCAGATGGGTTTTAGGTTATTGTATTTTGGGCTTCGCATTCTTGGGCCACTTTGTTGATTGGGTCCTTTTGGGACAATTGATATTTATGATTTGCTAAGGAATTATTGGGCTTTAGGATAAGGCCCATATGGGGTTAGGCCCAATTTGGAAAATTGGGCCATTAGTAGGAATTTATGGATCTTGTAGTTTAAGGCTATTTGGTTTTGGGCTTGGGCATTAGTTTTTGTTCATGTTGGGTCAGGGGTAAAATGGCCATTTTACCCTAAGTATAGATTATGGATCATAGTTTGGAACCTAAATTCTAATTGGGTGTTATTTTGGTATTGATAGTTGTTAAGGCTATATTGTGTTGTGTCAATTTTGTGTTGTACTAATATAGTCCATTTGTAACGGGTTAGGCCTGTCCACCCGGTTCTTTATTGTGCTAGGGTTAGAGTATAAATAGTGCATGCATGCACCATGTGTAGTATCGATCATCTTGTAACCCTACACTACCTTTACATTAGCAGTTCTTTATCGAGCTCTTCTAAGACAATGCTTTTTAATCATTGAGCAAAACTTTGATCTCCATTCTTCATGTTTGATTCTTTTACATGTTTTGAATATATCTATCTTATAGTTTTAACCATATCAGTTGGTATCAAAGTAAGAGACTGTGTAAACTATACGCATCTCTTCTGTTAAAGAGCTATTAGGGTTTCTGCTTTTATTGGATCTATCGTCTGTCGTCTTCAATGTTTTAATGATTGTTGAAGTTGGATTTTGATCTTGATGCTACCGTAATATCGATTTCAGTTTTACAAATTTGGTTTATTACATGTTTTATTGAATTGATATCATGCATTCAGAAGATTCTCATTATCTTTCCTTCAACCTATCTAGCAATATTGATTCTACAACAAGAATCCCGATTCTTTTTCTGCATGAATATGAGGTGTGGGCACTATACGTCGAGGATTATGTTCTAGATTTAAAGATAATGACTCCTTGATATGGAAAGCCATGACAGTTCAAACATTTTCTCATACTATCCAAGTAGAGTTATTAAAACTCAAGCCGACTACAACAAGCTTCTTCTCGAAGTTGCAGACGTCCCACAGGACGAAAAAGACAAGTTAATCAGTAATTTAAAGGAGGTGAGGATAATCAGATTTGCTTTGCCTCCAGAAACATTTCGTCTTGTGAGTGCCTATGAGAAAACGAAAGAGATATGGGACATGATTAAGGAACTCTATTCTAATGATGCTGATCTTGAGCATTCTATTCAGACGCTGATTCTATCTGATTTTGGAGCCTTTGTCCAGAAGCCTGAGGAGAAACTTGATCAAACGTTCAAGTGTTCAACCGATAGAACAATCTTTTGAGTAGGATGGTAAAAAATAAGATAGGACCTGAACAGATTGAACAAAAGGTCACATTCATGAATGGTGTGAAGCCAAAATGGAAAGTTGTGGTGTCAACAGTTAAAGCACATGAGCAATTTAAAACCTAATTTTTAGCAAAGCTTGTGGGAATTCTTAGGACTCACGAGGACAAAGTGAAAAAAGAATCGAAGATTGTTTCTTGGAAGGGTTCTTTGGCATTAGTCACAAAAAACAAGCAGTTTGTAGAAGAAGAAGGTTCGGAGACGGACCTCTCAGATTGTGAACTCTCAAAGGGGGAATATGCAATGATGGTGTCAAACCCTAGGAAGTTCGCCAAAAAGAACTTTGGATGCAAAAAAAACAGAAACTGACAAGGGAGTTATAACTCTAACAAGGTGAAGGAAGAAAGCTTTAACAACTCACCGAAGGATGAGGTAAAGACGAACAATAAGCTAGTAGGAGATTCTGGATATGACTATAATTACTATCATGAAAAGAATCATTTGGAAAATGAGTGCATGTTAAAAAGGATAAATGAGAAGAAGGACGAAGGAGAGAAAGATGAGGCTTACTATCTTCGGAAGATAGATGAACTAAAGAAAAAGAAAAGTGTGGATAATGCTAAACCTGCTTTGATTGTGCATGAAGGCAATGGCAAGTTTGGAAGAGTTGAAATCTGGTCGACTAACTTGGAGTATGATGAGGTTCGCAGACCTACACATAGTAAGTGCTTCGTTGCAAAGGCTGGAGTTTCAGAGTATGAGGGAAAATGCTTCATGGTCAGCAATGATGTTTCGGAGAAAAGGGAATATACTTCGGACACTTGCTTCATTGCAAGACTCGTCACAGAGCAAATCAACAAATGTGAAAAAATGATAAGCAAGGTAAATTCTATTCTAGAATCTTTAAATATTCCCATCTCTAGGTATGAAACTGAATTAGATGATTTAAAATTTACAGTTTCTAGTTAAAGTGGTAGTTTAAAGAGAACCCGTTTAAGTAATACTAACTTAACTGATCAAATCAACATGGTAACATCAAAAAGTGAGGAGATGAGGATGCGGATGCGGATGTGGATGATTTAAAATTTACAATTTCTAGTTAAAGTGGTCGTTAAAGTGGTGTTTCGGAATCCTTTATTCCAAAACAAGGGGAGAACTTGTGAAAACTTCTGGTGCGGGAACAGGAACTTTTGGTGGTGATCATGAGAATGAGCAAAAATCCAAATCCATTGATCCAAAGGGTAATGTATCTTCATGATCAAAAGGAAAAGAGAAGCTTGTTGATGATGATAGTGATGAAGAAGAGGATGGTGATGCAAAACTAAAGCGTAAATCTTACGATGTAGAACTCGATGAAAATCTACGAGTTGCTAAAGAAGCTGAAGAAAAAGAAAAGGCAGCCCGTGACGTAGAGGAAACTTTGAAGGCTCAGAAAAATATTTTTCATCTGTGGACACTAGAGCGAATTTTGAATGAGGACATCGACAATCCGAAAATTTATTGGCTAGAGCCTCTTGGATCATTCAAATTGCAGAACTCTCCGGATCCGCAGATTGATCTACCGATAACTCCGAAGGCGTTCCAGTTTTGCTGCTTTGACAGAGTTGTGAACGCTCCTCCTTTTGATTCAGGTGCTGATAAAATTCCCTTTTCTTTCTACCTAAAGCACGTGAAGCCTCAGTACGAAACTTGGAGCTCTAAGAAGATTATAGTTGTGAAGGTTTCTGGCCCAATTGAAACCGAAAGCTTTTTTAATGTTCGGTTCAAAGTTGAAAGGGGTGCTACGAGTCAGATATACGAGTTTACTATCACAGATCTACCATGTCTGAACCTGTATGATTGGATTTTGCTGCTTCATTTGTTGGTGAGAGATGAAAAGAAGTTCGAACCCATCATTGCACATCTTAAGAGGATGCTGGTCTCGTACATCCTGGACAATGGGAACATGGATGTTGAAATTGTTGCGGCATTGCAAAGGAAGCCAACCGTGTTGCCCAAAGAAGCTCCTAAAGATTTTGAAGAATGAAGTTGGACATAATACGAAAGGATGGATGGTGTATGGCATTTCAAATCTGAGAAAGACCTGATGTTGATTTTCACAGAGCTTGCTTCTATCTGCCTGATAAGCATCTTTTCTCCACATCATGTCTTGAATTCATTGTGGAGATGATGAATAAATGCAAAGCAAACAGTGTTTGTGACAAGAAATGTTTCTCGGATACGATCCTTTGTTATATACATGTTCGCAAGACTCTGCTAAGCATCATGCCAAAACTTTTTACAATTCAGAGACGACAACAACCATGAAGATCTACCTTCCTAATTGACACAAAGGGGGAGATTGTTGGGGCTATATTGTGCTATGTCAATTTTGTATTTTATTAATATAGTCTATTTGTAATGGGTTGGGCTTGTCCACCTAGTTCTTTACTGTGCTAGGCTTAGAGTATAAATAGTGCATGCATGCACTGTGTTTAGTATCGATCAGCTTGTAACCCTACACTGCCTTTACAGTAGCAGTTCTTTATCAAGCTATTCTAAGGGAGTGCTTTTTAATCATTCAACACAACTTTAATCTCAATTATTCGTGTTTGATTCTTTTACCTGTTTTGAATTTATCGATCTTATAGTTTTAATCTTATCAATAGTCGGAGGAGTCATCGAGGCCGCAGCTAAGGATTTCTTTCAGTGAGATTCTGCATTCGAGGTGAGTCTCTTCACTGTTATATGGGTCGAAGGTTCCAATACCAGACCATTTGGTTTATGTATTGTAGGAAGACCTGGGGGTAACCTTTGGCAGCTTGTATGAAAGACCACGAGGCGGCTCATGGTGTAACACCACGAGTTTAGAAGAGCAAAGTTCTGGGTGCTTAGTGTAAATATGGAATACCGACTCGGTGAGTTAATGGGTAGAATCGGCGAGTCGGATCACAAATCTGGTCATGTGTTAAGTGACCAACTCAGCGAGTCGGAGGAATGACTCGACGAGTTGGTGTTGTGTGGAGAAAAACCCTAATCCAGAGTTTGTGCTTTATCTAAAGGACATAATACCCTCTCATTAGCCTCTCTACACTCCCTTTGAGTCCCAGAAACCCTAATAGCTGTGAGTTAGAGCTTAGAGAGTGTTTGAAGCTTTGAGAAGTGAATTTGGTGGAGGAGACTTGAAGAAACAAGAGGCAACCATCATGGTTTCGTGTGGATCCAGAATCCACTCCAGTTTAGGGCACGTTTGTGAGGTATTAAGCTGTTACTTTTACCCTTTTCTTCTAGAATCATTCATATGTGGAGGCTAATGTTTTCCTTGGTTAAGGGAATTGTTATAGAAGCTAGATCTGAAGCTGAAACTTCAGATCTGAACCTCTTTTGAGTCCTAAGTTCATAAAGTTTCAGTCCTTGGATGATTGGTGAAGCCCCTTTTGTCTAAAACCCAAGCCCTAGTGTGTTTTGAGTTTATATCTCCTTGATATCATATAAAGTTTGCAACTTTACGTAAGGAATAGCTTGTGGAAGGGTAGATCTATGGATTGGAGCCCCATAATGGCTTAAAAAGCCGCTGCATGGGTTAAGAACTAGAGGTACTTAGCGAGTCACATGGGTGTACTCGGCGAGTTAAATGAAGATAGGCAGGGACTCGACAAGTTGGAAGAACAACTCGGCGAGTCTATTGAAGATTGCCTTGGACTCGGCGAGTCTGGTCGTGAAGTCCTAACCTTTTTGGTTAAGCTGTGAATCCGTGAGTCAAGGGACGACTTGGTGAGTCGAGCAGGAAGTGACTTAGAGTTTGTGGGACTCAGCGAGTCTTGGGGCGACTCGGTGAGTTGGGTCGCAGATGGGAGTTTTCAAAGCCTAAGGACTCGACGAGTCAGTGGGCTGACTCGGTGAGTAGAGCCAGTCAGGAAGTTTGACTTTGACTGAGGACTTTGACTTTGACCAAGAGTTGACCAGTTAACTTCCCGGGGTAATTTGGTAATTATTGGTATTTATTGAGTTCAGTCTTTTGGTATTATAAGTGGTGGGGTTTGTGTCAGAGGTTGGAGCAGCGTGATCCTATCTTTTCAGCCAGTAGTTGCGAGGTGAGTTATCCACACTATACTAAGGGGTCTAAGGCACCAAGGCTAGCCCATCGGATTTGATATCCTAGTAGTTATTGATATGTTGAGTTGCATTAGTAATGTATGTCTGTTTATATGTTAGTCGGGTAGGTCTGTAGGACTGCCTGTGATACTGATAGATTACCTGTATGTGCATTTATCTGTTACATGTCGACATGTTATGTGGGATGGGTTGAGGTTGTAGTGCTCCGTGCGGTAGCCAACAAACCCTACAGTATTCCATATATGAGCTGAGGGCCCAGAAGGCATTCCAGACTCATACTGAGGACTCGAGAGTATTCCAGATATGAGCTGAGGGCCCGGAAGGCATTCCAGACTCATATTGAGGACTCGGGAGTATTCCAGATATGATCTGAGGGTCCGGTAGGCATTCCAGACTCATACTAAGGACTCGGGAGCATTCCAGATACGAGCTGAGGGCCCGATATGCATTCCAAACTCGTACTGATGGCTTGATGGCATTCCAGATACGAGCTAAGGGGCCATGGGGTAGTTTAGTTTGTAAAGTTGTGGACCCAGTGCATGCTGTTCTGTTTCTGTTCTGTTATGATATGTTATGCGTATGGTATATGTGGTTGGTATTTTGGGGGTATCTCACTAAGCTTTCGAGCTTACAGTTCTGGGAATACTCTGATAATAAATGTATTGAAAACCTTTTTGTTATAACTTAATGAAATTGGGTTGTTTTTGAAAAGTTTAAATTGGCTTGAATTTTTAGAGTGTTACAAGTTGGTATCAGAGCCTTGGTTTGAGTGAATTGGAGAAACATTCGTGTGAATCCAGTCTCAAATCAAGGAGAGTTTTCAAAAGAGAATTTAAAATGGTTTTCAAAAATGAATAAAGGAGGATGCAGAGGTATGATCAGCCGGAGCCAGTAAGTAGCCCCAAAATACCATACAAGTTATTTGTTTATGAGATATGATAGAACAACATGCTAGTACTAGGCTAGGGATCTTCAAGAATCGCATGATAGAATTGCTTGATTATATGATGCTTGCTTGCCTAGGGTTTCCTTGTATGAAATTGACATCATTACTGTAGATATTTAGTGTATGCATCACGGCTATATGTAGTTAAGATTTTATAGCCTGGGAATGTTTGATTTGGCCTTATGTTCTGTTCTTGTTTGATTGGGAGCTTAGGGTAGGATTGAATATTTGAAAGTCTATAGGGTCCAGCGTTATGTATGACTAGCATACACTAGTGCTACATGAATTGGTGGAAGTTTCATGGTCAGGTGTGTTGTGGGACCGGTAGGTCAGTATGAGATATTTAATATTCCTCTAGGATTGAGGATTTGTTGCTTGTTATGTATGTTCATCTCTAGGGTGTTGTGGTGATACTTGATATAAATATGGGTAGGTGTGGAAGGTAGTATGGGCCCGTACTACTGAAAGCACAGGACCTATAGGCGTATCAAGGAAGTCACCAACCCTAGGGTTGGGTTGGGGGTTGATTCCCGGGTTAGAGGGAGGTATCTGATGTTTTGCGGTGTTTTTCAGTATGGTGGTTACGAGGCATGCTGGGAGTGGATCCGGGTCAGGTTCGGGAGCCGGAGAGGGTGGTCAGGGTGGATCGGTGCCACCCGAGGTCATCGGTCAGATGAGTACGGATGAGTTAGACGCTAGGATTTGTGTGATCTTGCATGATGAGGTTGCTTCTATGTTTCGGGCCGAGCTGCCGGAAATGTTTAGGTCGATCAAGACTGTCATGGTCGAGTATTTTGATGAGCACTATGCGGCTCTAGCAGAGACAGCGGCCGCGGCAGGGGAAGGAGCCATTTGGGGCTTCTAGTATCGAGACTTCGATAACAAAAAGCCCCTACCTTTGATGGAGTTCAGGATCTGATCGTTGCTATGAGATGGTTGTCTGATGTGGAGGGATGTTTCTTCACATGCTCATGCCCTGCTGATCAGAGGGTGAGGTGTGCTTTGAACCTGTTGAGGCTCGGGGCAAAGGATTGGTGGAGATTGACCACAGGGTCATATTCGGATGCATAGCGGGCTGCGGTTTCATGGGATCAGTTTCAAGGGATGTTCAGCACTCGTTATGTTCTATGCGTAGAGAGAGAAAGGTTGGCTTAGGAGTTCTTGGAACTGAAGCAGGATTCAGAGTCGGTGACGGAGATGTGTACTGAGAGGGTGATGTTTTGCTCAAGAGGGATATCAGCTAGTTTGTATCTACACAAAGGTGCGAGACCTTGCTGGAGTTGTAGGAGGCCGCTCGGCAGCATGAATTTGGAGATTGAGTTACAGATGAGGGAGCAGAGGCAGACCCTGGCACAGTCGCAGCCGGCACCGAAACGGTCCAAGACCGTTGATACTAGGTTGGGAGATCAGAGCAGCCGCACTAGTGGGAAGTGCGGGAAGGGTCACACCGGAGTTTGTAGATCCAGTGGTGCGTGCCGCAAGTGCGGGAGTGAGGGGCATTATACGAGGGATTGTCATTAGTCAGCCCCAGTTCAGGATATGAGGATTTGTTATCAGTGTCATCGGGTTGGTCACATGAGGGCCAACTGTCCACAGCTTACTGCAGGACCGGTGCAGGCTCCAGCACCGACCACTTTGAGGATTACGGGTGGAGGTCAGGGTGGAGCAGAGCCCCAGAGGGCTCAGGGGCGTGCTTTTCAGCTTATAGCAGAGGAGGTCAGGGCAGAGCCGGATACAGCTACGGGTATGTTTCCTTCTTGATATCTTGTTATCTTGTCGTTATTGTGGAGTATTGCATCTGCTAGTCTTGTTCATATAACTTATGGTATTGTATCCATTCGATCTTTTGGGTTTATAGTATTATTGAGGGGTCGATAGTTAGGGATCGCATTCAGTTAGCATCCAAGGGATTGATGGTCAGATTTTGGTTGATTGATCTTGCTGTTGGGTATAGCAATTGCGATTTGAGAAGTGTTCCACGAGGA